CCTAGCCCAGACTCGGGCCTCAGGTGCTCGGGCCCAGCCCGAGTCCGGGTCTGGGCCAAACCGGGCCGGGCTCCTATAGCCGGCCCGAATTTTCTTTTTTTTCTTTATCTTTTTTTTTTTTTGATTTTTTGCTAAAAATTAATTTTTTTAGATTAATCTTATTATATCTATATAAGTATGTATCAGTATATACTTACATATTAATATATAGCTATATATTATATATAAGTATATATAAGTATAGTATATGTAAGTATATTAGAAATATATATAAGTATATTAGAAATATATAGTATATGTAAGTATAGTATATGTAAATATATTATATGTAAGTATATATAAGTATACATTAATGATCATATCATACTATAATTATGTATAGTATACATTAGCAATATTATATAAAGACTATTAGATATACAAGTATATATTAATGACTACTTAAATATATATAAGTATGCATTAATGTCCATATCATTATATATATATATATATATATATATATATATATATATATATATATATATATTATATATATATTAAAAATCGGGTCGGGCTTCACCATCTCGGTCTGGACCCAAGCCGGAGCGCACGGTCCGCCGGCTTTTCGGGCCTTATCTGGGCTAGGCCGGGTCCGGACCCGAAACCCATTTGGAATCCTATCCACATGTAACTATAGACATCCTAGCCACATGTAACTATACTTACTTTTAAGATGCATGAAGGTAACTAATCCTACTTATATTTATTATACTATGTGGAATACACGTGCAATGCACGTGGTCAAATAATATAATTGTTAATTTTAATTTATGTATTTACTATAACATAGTTGCAAAAACGTTTACGATTATTATAATATATTAAAAAGTTTCAGATATTTCAATATATAAAATCTTATTGGTTTCAACACTTTACCTTCCACATAATTAGTGAGGTTTAAAGTCTTAAAATATTAATGATCCAAGAGTAATTTAATTATTTGGAATTTAAATTTTAAAATATTAATGATGTAAGCACCAATATCTAAAAAACTATTATTATTAATGAAAAAAATAAATCTCGAATTCATCAACATAAAATGGTAGGTTTATCTAGTCATAGAGGATTTTGTTTAGTTATAAAGAAATCACTCATACTTATTGTTTACTTCCACTTTCTATTATCTAGCGACCAAGTATTATAGATATTCAAAAAAAAATTCTAGAATTTTCAAAGTTAGAATATGCAAATCTTCAATCAAGAAAGAAAATACAAATTATGTGATCAATTCTAAAATCTGATATTATAATCTTCCTATATCTTCTCAACTAATTAATTAATTTGTCAAAACGATTACTCTCTAATTTTAGAAAGCTATAAAATATAATTTGAGAATGATTTAAACAAATTTTTGTACAAATATGGATTGTATTTTAACATCCAAATATTGAATATTGTCCAAAAATTTTGGTTAAAGAGTTAAAAAAACTAATAACACTCTTATCCAAACTATATGCTTTATAAAGGTGAGAATATAAAATGAATAATTTATCTCTATGAATTTTGTAGCAAATTTTTTTTAGAGATACTGATAGACTTGCTATAAAATCCACTCTTATAAGATTGATGTCACATGCATCTTAAATTGCTTTGTTTAAGGGTTAATTTTAGAAAACTTCCCCTCAACTACGGGGAAAATGTTAAAAATCCC